ATACACACTTGAAATAAATTGCCAGAATTATTCACCATACAATTTCATTATTGCTTAAAGTGCATTTTGAAAAACATAAGTATATGTAGGTTAGGATGTAGGTTAGGTTAGGTTAGTTTAAATTGGTAAAAGATGAAATGATGAAATGTTCCAATGATGAAATGCATCAATGATAAGAAGTCGCTTATGATGATGTGCCACTTAACTTCCTACTTTAACTAAAGATGTTGATCGGTGCTGCGGTCCCTAGCTATGTGCAAGTGATACGTTTTCGTGCTTAGTTACTTTCTTTTACTCAACCTCACTTGCTTGCTTCTATTGCCCTAACCCAATTTGGTTTCTGGTCTTCGTACAAACTCAACCAAACTTGGTTGTTCTTCGTCCCTCAACCATACTTGGTTGCTTTTATTGCCCTAACCCAATTTGGTTACTGTTCTTTGTACATACTCAACCAAACTTGGTTGTTCTTCGTCCCTCAACCAAACTTGGTTGCTTTTATTGCCCTAACCCAATTTGGTTTCTGCTCTTTGTACAAACTCACCAAACTTGGTTGTTCTTCGTCCCTCAATCGAACTTGGTTGCTTTTATTGCCCTAACCCAATTTGGTTACTGTTCTTTGTACATACTCAACCAAACTTAGTTGTTCTTCGTCCTTAACGACGCTGAGTCGGTCGCTGGTCGGTCGACGCTGCAGTTGCGACGCTGAGTCGGTCGTTGCTTATACTCCCTGCGGCCTGGTAGCTGCATAATACCTAACTCATCGTCGGAACTCAGCCGTCCGAGCTCTCCTATTATTATTCCTATATACGCTCCAGTCTTGATAGCAAATATTTGCTGCTACCTAACTCATCGTCGGAACTCAACCGTCCGAGCTCTCCTATTATTATTCCTATATACGCTCCAGTCTTGATAGCAAATATTTGCTGCTACCTAACTCATCGTCGGAACTCAACCGTCCGAGCTCTCCTAGCGCTCCAGAGTCTTGACAGCAAATATTTCCTAGCTCCGCTGTGCCTTAACTTTATTTGGTAGTAGACAGGAAATAATTTTTTGTAGAATACAATATTTATATTGATACAAGTAGAAAATCTCGTGTTGTCCCCTGCTTTGTTCTGTGTTCAAATGTGCTATATTAATGGTCGACGCGTTGAAAGCAGAAAATATTTAGTCTTCATCGCAATATTTACTTATTTACAATTCAAAATATGCTCTATATAAGTACTCAAGTTCAAACACAAAATTTAATATTATGGGCGACAATTCAGAGGTATTTCATCATATCGTCATTCACTGACACTGTCTGAGCTGAATCTCATCTCTGACCTCAAATTATACTATGATGCTTCCTCATTTTTTTTGTTGGCCCCTGTAAAATCTTACAGAAACAAAAGCTGTTCCGCGGCAAGCAATCTGGCGTAAGATGCTTATTTGTGCCAAAAGCTTGTTTGTTTTGAAATACACGGCGTTTCAGGATTGGCTTCTTGCAAAGTTGTAAGTTTAGTTTTAGAAAATGTCTCCGATTTGTGTTCGTAATTTAAGCAAGTTCTGTTCTTACTCAAAATTTAATAGCATTGCAATCGCAGTGTTCGCATTCTCTTGTATGTAAAGCGTACACTTTTTTTACGGCTCTGCGCTTGCCGCGATTTTTTGGGGCAATCATGGAGTAAATATTATGCATGTTTGTGCGAGGAAAACTTTCTGTTGGTCTTGGACTTGGAAACCGCAACGACATTCATCCTCGCACCCGCACATCTTCTCTTACCCGCCGGGAAGACGTTTGCAAATCATGCACTGATTAATTTAGTCATTTTATAAAGAAGTTTATAATCACGGAAAAATTCTTCTTTACTCGCGTTTTTCCAAGAGAATAGTAATTTTTTCCGTATTCTTTGTTTTGAATTTTATTTAGGTGTGGTTGTAAGGTTCAGCATAAACTAGGTTAATTACAATAAAAGGAAAAGGTAATAAAATCTACTTGTATAAATTCACAATATCAGCGATGATCAATCATAATGACTTTTAGGAGTGCCAGATTTCCTTGGACGAAGTTAGTGATGATCCGATACACAGAACTGTTAAATTTTGATTAGAATATTTTTGCACGCTCAAAACAATACAAATAAATTGTAAAACATGTAGAATTACGATTGAAGACAAACAAATTTATCCTATGGAAGATGGCCTAATAACCAGACATTGTACAGGACTCGCCAAATCATCGGAAGCACTGCATGCATGGTCGCGTTCAAGATTCAAAATTATTGAGCGTGTTTTCAATAAAAGTTACTACTTACTGTTACAAGTAGGTCTTGCAAATATTTGATTACAAGGAAGCTTTGAGCTGTCGAATGCGATAGTAAAACGTTTAAGTATCAAACGAGTTGCAGACAAGATGCCTTAACAATTAAAATTATGAAATATGTTTTTGTATTCGATAGCTGAGTTGCATTACAATTAAATTTTAATTTATCATTAGATACTGACGACTTGTAAGTATTTCTATTAAAAAAATAATTTTTATCTAACTCGACATCATCCGGAAATTATTATTGCTTGCTCTGTTATATTGTAATTCATGATTATCCTTCTTTGTGAAATTAGTCACGGGTTATCGTATAACTTGAGAACAGACGAAAGCAATTAAGTAAATGTATCGGCTCATTTTATTTTATTATTTAATATTTAATGCAAGTTTCATTGATTATTATTTTTCATGATTAAATTCTTGATTTTTTGTTTTTGTAGTAAATCAGGAGTCTGATTTTGCTAGTTACTGTTGTGCAGCTGTTGTTGTTTTGCATACGTAACTGAATTGGGGACTCGTTCGTCTGTCTTAGAACCGCTGTTCATTTGATTATGATAGTAAATTCTCGTGGTGCTATCGTTTGATGCGAATAAATCTGTTTGGTTTTGCCGTGATCGACAATTTGAAATTTTGGTGTCGATAGTTTTGTTTGCATAACCGTTGTTTAGGATAATTTTCTTGCAGGTCCGGAGTTCAGTTTTCATGTTAAGAGCGGATGTACAGGTTTTGTACGCTCAATGTATCAGGGTGCGTATGGTGCTGTGTGGTGCCAAATAGAGAAAAGCAACAAGAAAATCGTCAATAAGATATACCCTCTGGTCTTCAATGAAACGTTTATTAAGGAACAGCTTCTGCCTAACTACAGTAATATTTAATATTTAAGAGGTGTGACTGAAGACCAGAGAATTAGTATTATTGACAGTTTTCTTATTAGTTTTTTTTCACTATATCGAAAAATATTTTTCATATGCACTGGTAAACTGAAAATCAGGATACCGATGCAAATTTTTAATTCGTTAACAACGTTCCGAATGTATGTGAAATTTGGATCGACATACTGTAAGTACAAAATCATGTAAAAATCAGAAATTTATTAGAAATAATTTCAAACCCGCGTAAATGTGAAGATGATCAAGAATTAGAGCACCAAAAACTCCTCTGAAAACAGTCTCAAGGTTCTGACAAATCCGATAGTTTGAAGGTTGATGACTGGAGTCCTATCCCTAATATGATGAGGGCTTCAGCTATCATGAGTCGGTTGGCGTCGGGGCATCGCATGACGACGCTGGTGCATTCCTCCAGCACCGTACGAGTGATGGTCTCGTTGTGGGCTTCCATCAGGTGGTTCCTTGGTCCACCAGACTGAAGGTGGCACGTGAGACGTCGTAAAGTCGTAGTTGTGAGCCCGCTGTAGTTCATATTGGGGAGAAGTCTACAACCTTCTCTATTACAAGAAAATTTTTATATATTTATTATTTGTGACCATCTGATCGTAAAATATTGAAGCAATGGAAATTTTGCGTATATATGAATCTTCGCTAAGAAATTGAGATCAGTGATGAGCGAATACAAGTATTTTCCATGGCACTCTTCTTATAAATTATATTATTGATGTGCGCTTGAAATTATTTTTAATTATCCCTTCTTTGAGATCTCTTATTCAATGTATTCTGATTTCTGAAATGGATATTAATTATATCTTAATTTCAAATGGTATTTATTTGAAGAAATACTCAGCGACGAGAATCTAGGTTACTATCTTACACCAGCATTTACAGTACTTGTATATGTGTCATCGCAATGTTATTTACAGACCCACAATTCGACGCTTTTGAAAAAAATAAACGTACGCTGTGATTAGAAATTTATTAAACAATTTTACAGCAACAATTGACAGCAATTTTTTCTGTCGTGTTCCTTAAGAAATGACAGCGTTAATCTGACGTATTTCCACTAGAGGAACGCGGGTTCTGGGAACTGGCGTTAATTGCATCGGAGGCAGATAATTCCAATCCTATAAAATAATGCTATACGAAGAAGGGAGCGGCTACGTCGAATACAATCCTATAATAATAGCTGGGGGATCGTTCGGAATTGCTGATTATCGGTTATTTTGTACGTTTCAATTTCTAACTTTTTCCGATGAATATAGTGTTATTTTCAGCCGATTAAATATATTAAATTATTATTAAGCAATGAGCTAATTTGGGATTGGAGTAGTTCCATCTTATCTAACTTACACTGGAGTTTTCTTTATTGTTGCATAGAATTTCAAAGTGAAACAAAATTTTCCCATGCAATGAAAAAACTCATCATGAAGTAGTAATAATTTGTGTTGAAATTGGGACGCAAATTTTTGACATGGGTTTCACCGGATTGAAAGTGATGTGCAAAAAATGTATTGCCTTTTCTCTTTATATTGCGTCACTCGAATTTGTGCATTTTACATTGAAACGTTTTGCTTCAATTTATTAGCCATGATGACTTATACAAAATGACATTATTTAGCGACATTATTATATTATTATTATTATTATTATTATATGACATTATTATATTATTATTATTATTATTATTATATGACATTATTATATGACATTATTTAGCGACATTACTATATTATATTATATTATTATTATTATTATTATATGATATTATTTACCGTGCTGATGAGTCCATCCTTTGCCCTGCGCAGGTGTGATGCCGGCGACGTCCCCATGATGTACGCTCGCGAGGGCCCCAGCAGGATCGTGGGGAGGAAGCGCGCCACACCACAGTCTCCTCTTCAGTCTCCCCTTCACTCTCCTTCCCCTTCTCAAGCACTCTCTCCCTTACTAGCATCTTCACCTCTTCAAGCCTTGTCTCCTCTTCAGGTGCCTTCCCCAGGCAGCGTCATGGCTCCTTCCCCTTCACCTGCTCCCCAGGGCTACCACATCAAACATGAGCCCATGTCCCCACTGGGGCATGACAACCACGTGCTGCTGTTGTCCTCGAACGCGCCTTCCCCAGCCATGTCCAGCTGCTCCGAGACCACCTCATATAACCCCTTGTCCCCTCACAACAGTGCTTCCGTGGCCAGTCCCGCAGCCTCTTATAGTAATAACCCTACCAGTAATGGCTATAGGTGCAAGAAATTGAGAAGCATTAATAGTGTTGTTGGTGGTATTGGTAGTGCAAGTACTGGTGGTAACTTTACTAGTGATCTAAGTGCTTCTGCTGGTGGGGATTGGCCCATGCCTTCCCCAGGCACAGCGAGTATGGGGTCGCTCTCCCCCAACCACCACTCAATGGTTATGTCCCCAGCCTCCACCACGAGTACTGGTACCTGCTCCCCCAGACCAGGTAAGTTATAACAACTCATAATATACTCGTATTAACTTAGGTCAGTATATTCGTCGGCTGGAACAAGTAATTTACATCTCATAAATTAATCAAGCTCTTTATTCTATTGAAGTAAAGCTGTCACCTGGAGTCTCGGGTATATATATTTCATTGAACTAATGATGTTTATTCTATTTGTTTGTGCTCTAATTAGCTGCTTTCCATGATAATGTTTCGTTTTGAAACTCTATCCTGTTTTACAAGGCTCCATTGCTCACTCTGTTCCCGAGGGCCAACTAACGACTCTATAATTAATTATCTAATTGCTTATCCAATTCTAATAACTTATTTTCATTAGCTGTTATTGTTGATCCGTAAATTATGTTGCCTTGGAATTAATATGTTTCAGGTGTTTTTTTTATGAAACAAAGATATTAGACAATCTTTTCTCCGTCGGACCAATTAATAAATTCTACATTCACAGTATTGTAAAAATCCAGAACGGGATTTATAAGTATTGACAAACAATTTCATGAGACGAGAAAAGATATTTTAGTGCGTGATTTCTGCAAATGTAGTGATTTTTTGAGAGGTGGCTAAGAAATATCTCTTCTTGAATTTGGCCTCAACATGTTTGAGGTAACGATGGAAAAGTCAACAGAAGTTCTCGAGGTACTCTGAGCAACAAAACTGATTCTCTCGTTGTAAAAGGATCATGTGTTTGCAACTGTAACTTTATTAACGAACGTCGAAGAACTCGGTCAGTGACCTCTTCTAGATACCGACTTCGAGGAAGAATAAGCGAATTGTTATCCAAAGCCCGCACTATGCTCGACAAGACTGAAGACTGTTCCACCCATGTCGGAACATCTTCACTGCTAGCCAGCTTTTCAAAAATGAACAACATTGGAAATTAGATATGTGTGCGATCTGCAATTCTGTACTAAAATTCCGAATTCGATTTTAGGAACAAAGTGTACGTTTTGTAATCCTCCTCATTAGCTATCGAATTTTCGAATCGGTTAAGTACCTAAAATCACTCAATGTTTATTACAAAAGCGTTGTAGCATTCAATCATATCATCTCATTATTTGTGGGCTTGTATGAAAATAAAAATGTTTTTAGAAAATTGTTTTAAAAGATGGTAAATAAATGCAATGAAATCAGAATCTAAAATGAAGCAGCTCATTTGACTGCAAGTTGATAAAAGATGTCGTGGTTGCTGACTGTAATATAGTCTTTAAACTTAGCGAATGAACTCAGTTGAACTGTGCATATGCAGATGTCTGGCGGTCTCCTCGGTCTGTAATACCGAGGTCTGTCTTACGATCTTCATGTGATGCTTGATCTCTTGATCGTGTTATCTGCATTCGAGTGACTTTTTATTAAATATTATGAATTATTTATCAGATTTGTGCTTTATTTACTTGATACTTCGCAACACGCTGCGTTCTCGCTAGTACTATAAATTTTCATTTTGAATCAACAAATTTACTGTTATTTGTACTTTAGTTATTTTATTTATTTTCAGAAAGGGACTCTGTGATGTCATTCAATGTGAAATCTTCAGCAAATGATTTGAAGTCCAAATAATTTTTAGCACGAATTGCATCCCCTAAAATTACTGGATGTTAAATAGCGGGCTTACAATCAGTACTTCTTATGTAAATTTGTAATTGTTTTCTGTGGGGCAAAATAAAAAATTGTCGACCTCATTTTGCAGAAGCCAACAAAATCTGAAACCTCATTTGCAAGAACCAAAAAGAATACAGCAAAACTCGGGGACTACTATTTTTTTCTTTACAATATATGTTCAATCAAATGAACTGTATAGTTAGTTCTTCGCCCAGGCGCAGCTCCTGTACTATAAATGTGCATGTCAGTGTATTTTTTCAGAGTTTTATAGCTGAGATCAATTTGTTGAAAGCGAGCTCTTGGGCTGACGGCTCCGTGTAAAATTATTCTTCTTATGCTAAATTTGCGAAGTTTTGGATTTCCTGTCAGTAGGTTATAACATTATTTTTAAAACGGAGGCTCCAGATTGCTTAAAAAAATTTGAGGCTATGATAGATTTTTCTTCTCATGGAATGGCCGATAAATATTGAATAGATACTTGCAAAACGCTACGTTCTTGCTAGTAATATAAATTTTCTAATAATTAAAAATTCTTAGTATAAAATCCATGATAATTAATGGGAGCAATCATACGCTGAGTTCAGAGACCTCGTCTGCATGTTTACTTACGCTGCTACGCTCAGTTTCCTCGTTCGACTGGCTTTCGTTTTAATGACGTTGTCTCGATGACTAGACGCAGAATTTATGCTAACTTGTTCTTCTGGCGCGCCTAAATTAAATTACATAGGCAAACGATCTGCCCGACATGATGTAGGATAGGCATGAGCCTCTCAACACTTTACCTTCGAATTATGGTCGCGCAGTTAAACATAACTGCCGGCACATGTCACTACCACAATTATTACAAGTTGCCACATTTTTTTAATTGTTTTTTATGCATGTTGATTATTATGACAATTACACTTAATTATATGTCCTATTTGCTCCCTCTTACTATCCCTGTTATCACTAGGATCGGTAAAAATTAAATTTTCATTTAAACTCTCTTTTTACGATGCAGTACGGCACTTGAATGATGAATGCTCAGTTTGCGTGACTTGCAAATGATGACTTTTTGAATTATGTCAGAGATGCGATCTCCGACATCTGTGTTACTGGAGTGCTACATGTGTAGCTAACTGTGTGACCTGAGTTGTAGCTCGCTGTGTGACCTGAGTTGTAGCTCACTGTGTGACCTGAGTTGAATCACTGTGTGACCTGAGATGTAGCTCACTGTGTGACCTGAGTTGTAGCTCACTGTGTGACCTGAGTTTTAGTTACTATGTGACCTGAGTTGTAGCTCACTGTGTGACCTGAGTTGTAGCTCACTGTGTGACTTGAGTGTTGTAGCTTACTGTGTGACCTTAGTTGTAGCTCACTGTGTGACCTGAGTTGTACTTACTGTGTGACCTGAGTTGTAGCTCACTGTGTGATCTGAGTTGTAGCTCACTGTGTGACCTGAGTTGTAGCTTAAATTTTGTTCGCTTATGTTCTATAATGGCCCGTTCAAATTTGCATTTAAATTTGTCTTTACTTCCGTTGCGCATTTAATTTAAAAAAACTGGCAAATGTATTTGTATCAAATCAATATTTTCAAAGTCCTTGCAATACTATTTCTTACAATTAAGATAAATTTATAAAAATTATTTTAAGCTTCATTTTTATCTCAGTTCGCTGTATAACTGGCTTATAAATCATGTAGGACAATAGAATATTATCGAGCATTCTAATTTTAACATTTGCATCAGAATTTAAATGAAGATTCAGCTCTATTATTATCATAGAATAATGTGTATTCTGAGCTTTGCGTTAATGAATATTACATACTTGTAAACTACCGCAAATTTAATGTCGACTACTTCCTGACTTGCTCTTCGCCTGATGCATTCAGATAATTCATAATTCATTGTGAAAACTAAGCAACTCTTTCCCTTTGTTGCCATTTTTGTCCGTATGCTTTATTTTTAAATCTTAAATATAAAGCGTTTTGCACAGGCGATCTTGCCTATGAAAGCTGCGACTCCATCCTTTGTGCGTGTGGCAAAGCTCACGCTTGCTGGGATTCATTGCATTCAATGTGGAAATTCATTGCATTCATTCAATGTGGAACCCTGAAGCTGCAGGCGTTCACATGGAGGTTTCAACACTTGCCGCTTCTACGAGCTGACACGTAAACAAATGTCTACATGTTTTTTGTACTGTATGACCTTGTATGTGCTGTGTGAACCTACGTATTGATGCACGTGGGATTGACTATTCTTGCCACGTGATGTATATTTGAATGTTGCTAAAACTATTCACAAAAAAACATGGGATTCAGAGGTCGTTTGTTGCTGCATAATGTTTTTCGCAGACAACCATTCCATCTCTGTGATCGGCTTTTAATTTGTTATTTTTTCAAGCGATATTCTAGAATTAAACTTCTTGTCAGGATGCGATATTAATCAATTCAAAGGACATTGGCCTACAGGAACAGGCAATTAAAATTAGCTTTGAGCTGCTTCTTCTGTTTATTCGCAGTGTAGTTTCCTCAGCATCTTCAACAACGAAGCTGAGTCAAATTAGATTTTTAAAATTAGAAGCATAACAGTATTGATACACAATTTCATGAGATGAGAAAATATATATTACCGCGTGATTTCTGCAAATGTAGTTAGGATTTTTTGAGAGGCAGATAAGAAATATCTCTTCTTTCAAGACGTCAAATTTTGACGTTTTGACTTACCGCTTAGCGCCACGAAGAGCTCAGGAACGTGTATTTCAGTCTCTTCACGAAGACTCATTCTACCGATCAATCAAACTACCACGATCAGCTTTGGTACATTCCATGCCGCAAGAATTGGTTCTATACATGTGCAGTGGACATCCAATAATATTAAACAAATTTGTTGAGTTTAATATAACTGCATGCACTGCATCGCTTTTCATCGGTATTCATTTTTTGTGAACAACAGTGAATATACCGGCGGCAACACTACCAACAATACTATACATGGTTTTCTTTAATAATAATTAATGCACAGAAGCAACACTACCAATAGTTTACCTAGTTTTTTTTAATAATACATGATGCACTGTGGCAAAAATAGCCACCGTATACATTATTATTACCATTATATAAATTATAAAAAAAATAATAATATTATAAATATAATATAAATAAATTATTACCATTATATAAATAGCAACCATATACATTATTATTACACTTTAATAATGCTAAATGCACTGCAGCAATGTGGCTCTCAGTATAGGAGTAAAATGGTGATGGTGTGACAGCAGGAGGGTGAGTGGCAAGCCTTGTAGCCAGTTTGGTGCCAGGCTAGCTCCTGTTGACGATGACTGCGCAAGAAAAAAAGACAGAACATCTCTGCTTTTCCCTTTACGCGCGCCATGATACAAGTCTT